ATTGGATTGCTCTTTTGCCTCGCCCTGGATTGTACCTGTTTGCTGGTGTTTGACCCTGCCTGTTTTGACCACTCTTGTGAATAAAAGCTGCATTTGGATCCTCAACTCCGTTGTCACGCCTCCCACGTTACAGAACCTATGTAACCGGTATCTACTAGAACCAAATCAGAACACAGATTTCAGTGCTTAATTTCGGTGCCATGCCTGAGCGATCGATCGAAATATTTGTCCTCTGGTTCTCCGAAACGGACATAAGAAGCATCATCGCCAGCACCGCACGTGAAAAATAAGTTTCCGACTGAGAAAATGCACGTGAACTCAAGTCAGAAAGCTCTAATAATACAAATCCAACAAATCTTTGTAGTAACACGAGTGTCCATGTTGTTTTCACATTCCGACTTAAAAGCACAACTCAGGAAATGAGAGCATCCGAGCGCGTGAATGCAGTTATTACACTTGCTCTGATGGCAGCAGGTAGCCTTCCGTTAACTAAGCTAAACATGCTTAAATTAAAATGCCTAAAGCTAAACTTCCCTTGCAGTCACATTTCTAAACTTGTTGTCAAACAAAAGAGAACATTATAACCTTTTTACTCCACAACACCAGTCAAATGCTTCCTTGTGTGATCTGATGAGGTTTCTTGTCACAGAGTGAGGCAGAACATTTCTTCCATAGGCTACTTTAAAAAGAATACATCGATTAGCAATGGATTATAAATATGTTAAATTATTATGAAAATACCAGAGATGGCTTGAATAACACAGATAAACTATATTGTCACAGTTGAGTGTTTATTGTCTTTGTTTTATCATTCAAAATGTTTATATATTCTGTTTACTCAGTTACAGCTATAATAGCAATGCCTTTGTCCATATTAGGGATTTTCCTGGAGGGTCATGAGTTCCGCTACTTCTATGACTGGATATGTGGATTTTCTGTGTGAGGGCGCCCTCTGGCGTCCAGTATGAATGAAACTGACATTGTGTGTTTATAGTGCTAATGGCCAATCCATCATTTTTTGGGGAATTTTTGTTTATTTTTATATTTGTTTTTAATAAGTATCGGTTCAGGCACCGTTTAGGCACCGGAACTGTTTTAAAAGTATCTATTTGGCACCGGTATAGAAAAAAACCCAAACGATAGCCAACCCTATTTATAATGTATTATAAGTCTAATAACTTGCCATTGTTTAAGATCTGCAAGATAACTTAGTACATCTGTTTAGTTTCTACTGTAAAATGGCAAATACAAAGTCTTCATGAAAACATCCAAAAGGCTTTATAATGTGGTCTTATTATTTATAAGTGGTCTTTGTCTGCATTAACTAACGTAACTTCACTTTACTTAAAGCAGACAAAGACCACTTAATAATAATAATTATTATTATTTTCTCAAACAGGTGTAAAATCAGATATCAGATCAGATGAATGTGTTCACATTTGATTTGAACTATTTTTATTGTAATATTAGTATGGTTATTTTGATGGTACCTTTTAGACAACTGTTGATAAGTAACCTTGCAACTACATGTCAACTAGCAGTCATTGGAGTATTAGTAGTATGTCTGATAAATATCTGCTGACACTTTATTTTGATGGTTCCCCAACAGACATCCAACTGACTATAAGCAACTTTGCAAGTATGTCAACTTATTTTACCAAGCCTAACCTTAATCTAATTCTACTAATACTCTAAATGAGAGTTAATTGTCATGTAGTTGCAAAGTTGCTTATAGTCAATAGTACGGTGGCCGAGAAGTGCAAAGCAAATCACAATTCTGAAAACAAAATAACAAATTACAAACGACAACAAACTATGGCGACAAAGGAGCCTGCCAGAATGGGCAGGGTCATCTGGCTATATAAGCAGGCGTTCGCCACAGGATTCTCAGGTTACTTCGACTGAAGCGACGACTGAGTCGTGCAGCTACATAGCATGGCTAGCAACGCAGTACTCATTCCCGTATCTCAGGGAACCGAGGTTACGTTAGTAACCGAGCAAGTATCGATAGGATCGTCTGCTAAAGATGCTATGGGAACACAGTACATTCACGCCGTGCTAAGGTAGAGGAACGACTATATAAGTATTATAACTTCCATAAGCAAGCAATGCCCATAGGGAAGTTAACAATAACCCAAGTCTAAAACGGGCTGAACTCCCCGAGGTCACACCCGGCCTGGTAAATCGTTCCAAAGTACTCATGCAACTTCGGCACCCCAGGGGTCGAGAGCTGACAAGTAAACTAATACCAGAGAGCTTGAGCGTGATACGGTCAAGGGCTCTCTGTCAGACTTGTTTGCGTAACGCAGCGCGTGTCTCTTCAAGCAGAAAGGACCCTGGTCTGCAAGGCCGGGACTTCCAGGTTATAAAACCTAGCAAATATGGACGGCAAGACCCAGCCGGCCGCCTCACAAATGTCCGCAATGGACACACTGCTAGACCATGCCCAAGACGAGGCGATGCCTCTGGTGGAAAGGGCCTGTATTCCGATGGGACATTGTAGGCCCAAGGAAGATTACGCTAGCGTGATTTTGTCTACTATCCAGCTAGAGAGTCTTTGCTTCGTGACCGGATGCCCTTTGGACACCTTTTGGATAACCGAAGCTAACGAAGAGTTGTTCCGACCGTCTGAAGGGGGCGGATGGCTTAATGTAAATTCTTAGAGCTCTGACGGGACAGAGCAGGGATAACTCTCTGTCCACTTCAGAGAGAGGAAGCGCAGAGAGCGCAATGACCTGTGCTCTGAATGGAGTGGAGAGCACCTTGGGTACGTAACCATGCCTTGGTTTCAGGATGACAGAGTCATTAGGCCCAAATTCCAGGCAGGCAGGGCTAATGGAAAGCGTCTGAAGTTCTCCTTATTCGCTTTACCAATGCTAGTGCCAGAAGCAGAGCAGTCTTCAGTGACAGTGATCGAAGGTTGGTAGATTGTAGCTGCTCAAAAGGGGGGCCCTTCAGGGCCCTTAGCACAGTGGGCAGATCCCATGAAGGGACAGTGAGGGGATGAGGCGGATTCAGCCTCCTGGTGCCCCTCAAGAAGCGGACAACCACACTGTTCCTGCCCACCGATTGGCCCACAATAGGGCCATGAGAGGCCACTATAGCCACTACATAAACCTTGAGAGTGGATGGGGAGCATCCCTTATCCAGGAGCTCTTGCAGTAATGACAACACCACTGATAGAATGGAGGTAGAATGATCTTCGCCGCGGTTTAGGAACCAAGCGGAGAAAATAGACCACTTAAGGGCATAGAGGCATCTCGTAGATGGGGCTCTAGCCTCCGAAATCATGTTTAAAACTCGCTCTGGGAGGCTTGAAGGTTCCCGTGAAGGACCCACAAATCGGGCCGAAGGTGCCATATTGTCCCGTCCGCTTGAGAGAGGAGATCTAGTCTCAATGGAATGGGCCAAGGGGCTGCTACCAACAGCTGAGTCAGCTCTGATAGCCACAGTTGGTTCTTCCAGAGAGGGGCCACCAGGAGAACCTTGTGTCTCTGTTCCCTGATTAGCCTGATTACCTGTGGGATCAGGGCGATTGGGGGAAATGCATAAAGAAGGAGGTTGGGCCAATCGTGGGCCAACGCGTCCCTGGTCTTTGAATAATAAATTGGGCAGTGAGAGTTGTCTTCTGAGGCGAAGAGGTCTACCTCGGCCTCGCCGAAGATCTTCCAGATTCTCTGAACCATCTGTGGATGGAGCGTCCACTCCTCTGAGGGAACATTGCTCCTTGATAACATGTCTGCTCCTTGATTCAGTTTGTGCAATATGCACAGCTCTCAGCGAGCGCAGGTTGAGTTGAGCCCATTCCAGAATGTGCTCTACCAGAGTGAAGAGGCACTTCGAGGAGAGGCCTCCTTGGCGATTTACGTAGGACACCACCGACATGTTATCCGATCGGATTAGCACATGGTGTCCCTTTAGGACTGGGAGGAAGAACTGACAGGCTTGACACACTGCTAGCATTTCCAAGCAGTTGATGTGAAAGCATTTGCGACTGAAAACTACTGCGTGCGAATTTGAAATTTTTTTTAGGAGCACCAGTGCGACTGACCCAATCATCATCATACTTGTGATTGTACTCAGGGGAGCTTCAAAGCTTTCTACGTGTTTTTGCAGCATTGAGTAATTTATCACAGACATATCTCACGAATCCTTTCATAAGTAAAGTGTAGACAGGGTGTAAATAAGAGATTCATTGCGCAGTGTAGAGAGCTTCGTTGATTATAAATGTGAGATCGAGATGAACTAAGATGAGTGACAGCTTGATTTTTTTTAAGGGAGTTTGTAAATGTGATACTGATTTAATACAATACAATTCAATAAACAAGAAGTTAATATTAAGTGACTTACATTGTCTCACTATAACACTATTGTCTGATTTTGCTCTATTTCGTCGTCGAAAATAGTTTGAAACAAAGACACAGCGCATCTCCATTCAAACAGTGTGTTTCGTTTATGAATGCACGGGGGTTTTTAAATGAATTTTAAAATTTTACATTTTCTAGTGAGTCAGTGATTCATGATTACCCATTCATAAAGACAGTCACTTGATTAATTCCTGAATGAACCAGCCGTTCGAATGAATCTATTGAATGAATGATTCAGTGATAAAAATCAGTGACTTGCCGCCACCTGCTGGCAGTTTGTTTCATTTTTAAAGTATCTTTTCAGTAATTTAAATCATTTAATATTTCTATATTCAAAATTTTATTTTTAAAACATTAATCTCTGATGTTTTAGCAAAGCTCTGCTGCCGAGGCATTGGTTCGTTTTTTTTTATACACTGCACGAACCAATGGCCGTGCTGTTTCCCTGCATGGTTAAAAAAGGCTTTTCCCATAGCGTCTTTAGCAGACACAGTATGAGTGAAGTATCAATAGGGAACAGTTTGGTTTAGGGATCAATTCTAACTATTAACTAGTTAACTAAAAATAGCATGCATATCACTAGCATATTGACTGTTTATTGGTACTTATAAAGCACATATTTATGCTTTATTCTGCATGACCATATTTTAGATCCCTAAATCCTACCCAATATCTAAACTTCACAACTACCTTACTAACTATTAGTAAGCAATAATCATGAGTTTGAGGCAAGAATTACAGTTAATAATGTTAAAGGTGAGAACTGGTCCCGAAACTAAAGTGTGACCAATATCCCAAATTGCATATTCACTTGCAAAAACGTGTTTAAGCTTTTTTTTCTTGTTGCAAAAAATAAAATAAAAAAATTTATAAAAATAATCTAAAAAAAAGGAATGTCTTCAGTGCATGCCTTCAGATTATTACAGTTTTTCTCAATCAATTTGATACTGTTCTCCAATGCAATGTACCTGTTCTCAAAACAATTAACACCTGTCACGGAATGTGATAATTAAAGCGCACGATGAAGGAGAAAGCCAAATCACAGTCTTTTAATAACACATCCACACTAGAAACAGGAAGAATCCAGGAGCAGGTTTGGGTAGCACAACACGTAGACACAAACAATAGCAGACAAAGGACCAGGGGAGAACACAGGACTTAAGTACTAGGAGATAATTAATAAACACAGGTGGAACCAAATTAAGCAATCAGGGCAACTCAGGAAAACTAGGTCAAAGGAAGACTAAGGCAGGAGAACAGGAACACAAACAAAACTCCATAACTGTGACAACACCATCCAAACACAAAGTTCCAACAAACCAAACAGTTCATCTTTCCTGCAAAATGAAGCACTGCAATTTTTTTCTAGTAATGCATTTATTCAAGTTTTTTACGATTGCTTAAGCACAATTTTGAAAACAGGGCCCGGTTTGTCAAAACACTACACACAATTAACAATACCCTACACCAAAGTAGCACACGACTTCAGATCATTTGCAAAATGGAACACTTTTGTCAAAACTATACACAACTTTATAAAAACAATATTTTCTTACCATACGAAACACACACATTTCATATGACTTTAATCTTTTTGAACCAGTTACACCCTGCTGTTGCTAACCTAAAACACTTTTAGCAAGTCTAATTCTCAGTGATTAGAGTACTGTAAATGAAGTACACAGAGAAAGTGCAACTATACAATAGTTCACCAAACACTACACAAGACCAATGCTGCAGACTGACGAAAATATAATTGATTTCTCTCCATATACCCAAATCAGTCAACATGGAGAATCACAACAAAACATGTCCCAGTTGTCATGCTACTACAGTAGTGTGCATAACACTGTTAGCTCAGCAAACAACATACAAACGTAAAATACTGTATCCAGTACAGGTTACAATTACAGTAAATAACAACAACAACAACCATAAAAAATAATCTGAAAAAACTGACAATATTGTACAGAAAATACTACAGAAAACATACTATACATTATCTCTTCGCCTAGCTGGATCTGCCCAGAGAATTTCATCAACATCACAAGCAATATCCTCATTAGCAAGACAACGCGGGAAGAACCGTCTTGAATGTTGAATGCCACTGTATATCTGCTAAGATTTGGCTGAACTCTGAGTTCAGCCTCCCTCAGCGTCAATCCGTGGTTCACAACATGGTCCACTAGTGTTGCACGAATGTCATTTGATAAGTTTGGTCCTCTTCTTCTTTGTGCACATTCTCCTCCTGCTTCAGGTCTTCCTTCCTTCCTTAAATAATTAAGTTAGCCATCTTATATAACGTTTCACCGTTACTCGTGTAATATGGATCTGCCCAGAGAATTTCATCAACATCACAAGCAATATCCTCATTAGCAAGACAACGCGGGAAGAACCGTCTTGAATGTTGAATGCCACTGTATATCTGCTAAGATTTGGCTGAACTCTGAGTTCAGCCTCCCTCAGCGTCAATCCGTGGTTCACAACATGGTCCACTAGTGTTGCACGAATGTCATTTGATAAGTTTGGTCCTCTTCTTCTTTGTGCACATTCTCCTCCTGCTTCAGGTCTTCCTTCCTTCCTTAAATAATTAAGTTAGCCATCTTATATAACGTTTCACCGTTACTCGTGTAATAATCAGATTATTTAGGCTAATAATATATGATTTATTTATTTAAAAAAAGAAAAGATGTTTAACTTTTTATTTATTTGTTTTTGTTCTGTTTATCTTTCATTTTATTATTCTTTATATATTTATTGTTTTGTATTCTGGTTGTGTATGTAATTTATTGCTATGAATGTATCCCCTGTGAATGTTATATCTTCAATTAAAAAAAATTTTTTTAAAAAGGAATCACTAGCAGAAACTCAAAAAAAAAAAAAAAAAAAAGGCACTGCACACAACAAATCCC